TTATTTTATTTTATTTTATTTTATTTTATTTTATTTTATTTTATTTTTATTTTTATTTTAAACAGACTTATAGAGCCACCCATATTGTAGCAACAACCCTGAGTGGCACACAACCCCCAAACCATGAAATAAAAAATCCATAAAATCTCTATAAAAAACCCATGGCACCCCAGGGCAGCACTGTCTCAGGCATCTATGCACCATCTTGCTGGGCCCCAGCTTCATCCTCCCCCAACGCCGCTTAGGGGGAAATGAAATGAAAGGGTCTGGACAGCCACTCACATCCTCAGGCCAGGACATCAGAGCTGCCCACGGCCACCCGGGCCTCCTCTGGTGGATCCGTGGTCCTGGGGGCGTGGCAACAGCAGGGAATATGGTGTGGTGAGGTAGAGATATGGAGTTGAGCCAAAGCTCTCCTTGCACAAATAACCCTTCCCAGAGCAGAGGAAGCCCCGGGCTCAGCTAGACTCCGTTAGGGGCTGGGAAGCCTCAGGCGCAAGCGGTGCCCAAGCAGGAACAAGGCAGTGGAAGGCTGAGCCCAGGAATGCTGACCAGGGCAGCCAGGCATTAGCAAGCAGTCACCGGTTTCAGACGGTGGGGCAGCCTGCTTTCTTCAGCCCTCTGCTTCAGCTCAAGGGCACCACTGTATGTGAACCCACTACCTCACCTGTCTCACCTTATTGCCACACACGTGGACACGCATTTTGAATCGATGACTCAAAAGCAAATTGGCAGTACATTATAATTTGCATCGGTCTAGCAAGAGGGCCCTTAACCCCTTCCCTCTTTAGGCTTCCCTTACCTCTGGTAGACATGAGTCAAACGACTGGTACTGCCAAGAAGGGGCGCTGCTCTCCTCCGGTTGAAAAGAGCTGAAACGTCCTCCTACAGGGACCTCTCCGCTGCAGCGGGCAGAAGGACGCCGGGGTGTCTCCGCTGCCACAACGCCCTGCCGGGCACTTGGCTCCCTTGCACTGCAGCCGCCGGGTCCACCTGGACCGAAGGACTGCGAACTGATGCCTTGCCAAGCAATGGGCATCCATAACAATGATCTAAAAGCACTACCAGGCGAGGCTCTGCAGAGAGGCTGCTGGGGCCTGGCACCCACTTCTGAGTGGAACTGCCCAGCCCAGCTAGACGCCGAGAGGAAAAAGCAAGACCAGAGCAGGGCCTCTGCCAGAGATACAGCAAGAAACGTCCATTATGGGTGCACGCTCTGGATACACAGATGCTTTGAGGGCTTGATTTATTAATCCCTCATCAGCTGCACGAGCTTCCTCCCCAACTCAGAGCAGTGCGGCCACACGTAGCTTGGGAACGGCTAGCTCTAAACAGGACACGCGTCTAGGCCTGAAAGGGCCACTGAGACCTTCACACCCAGACCCCCGCTCAGTGCAAAGAAACACTCCAGACAGAAGCCTGGCCAGCCTCCATAGCCAGGCATCTCACAGTGGGTACCCCCCAACTGGCACTGGCATCTAAAGGAAGGGCACGTGGCAAAGGGTGCGTCACATGCAAACTCTGTTCCTTACGTACATGTAGATGATGCTGCTAAACAAATGCAGAAGGGCATTGTCAAGATGATGCCAAGAGGACATGACAACACACGTTTCGTCCTCTTGGCACCATCATGGCTCGGAACGACAGACGTGACCCTCTAACCTCCATTTCCACACTGCTCTTTTCACCTTTATCAAAGCCATGTACATATTCAGAAATACGTTACAATCTTGTACAAGATTAAGGAGATTTAGGTACTTACATGTTTCACAGCAGGTATTGCCCAGTTTTGTAACTTTACCCTAAGGAAGAAGAAGACAACACACCCTTTAAGATAAATGTATACATGTGTCCATGTCTAGAACTCTCTTAATGCAAACTTTAGCTATTTATTCATTTCTTTCCAACGTATGTATGCCATTCAGTTCCAATGGCTCTGAGACACGACCAAAAGGGTTTTTTTTTTAATTTTTGCCCTTTTTACCAAAAAAAAAAAAAAAAAATCATATCATGCTGGAAGAAAGTGCCGCTGGAAGCCTATAGAAAGAATTGTGGGATAACGACACAAGATTTTTATTTTTTTTTAGAGTGGAGAATTCATTAAATTTACTGAAAACCAAACTCTTCTGCAGTTAGTCAGTAAAATGACCGTAAGGGCACAACGATATATGAAAAAAACATGACGGGTTCATCCCCCCGCCCGTGTTGTTTCTTATCTGGTAGGGATAAGATGCTACTTCAGAAGTTTGCAGGGTGCTTACAAATTTCATACCATTTGGATTGAAAAGAGCAACATTTTAGACCAGTGTTTGTCAACTTTGGCAACTTTAAGATATGTGGACTTCAACTCCCAGAATTCCCCAGCCAGCCATGCTGGCTG